TGTTGATATTATCATATTAAGCTGGTTGTTTAAATTAATTATATGCATATGATATGCATGGAATGCCTTGGTATGAGTTGTTTTATTGTTTTGTTAATTCTAAGGTTTGGTACATAGTTGAATTGTAGGCATGGATGAATTGCCAAAGGCTCAAATATATTGTCTAATTATTTGTATGAATAAAATACATACATAGGAAGTATAGATGGTTTGCTAATTAAAAGTATAAATATATATACTTAAGGAGGCATGATTGAGTTGCCAATATATAAATAAATCTATTTATAATGGCATGGTTGAATTATCAATGCATAATTAAATTGTTATGTGTTAGATGATTAAAATTTCATCTATGGATATTGTATGTGTAGGGTTGATTAGGATTAGATATTCTTAAATTAGAATAATCTAGTACGTATACATTAATGTATTATTTTATATATATTAATAAAATAATGTTGGTGGAGACATGGATGATTTGTCAAAGCCTAGAAATTGGCTGTGTGATTTAAATAATTAAATCATTATTGGGTTTTGGATTAAATATAATACTCTTTAATTATATTTTATTGTTTAAATGATTAATTAACTGTCTAGGACGGGATTGAGGTTAAAGAACTTTTCTTTAAAAGAAATGGTGAATTGATCTAGGAATAATTATTATTTAATCATTGTTAATGATTTTGGAATTAATGAACCTAGAAATAGATATGACTGTTGTATTTATATATAATTATTTATATATAAGATAAAAACTTTATTAGGTTTGGTTTTTGGTCAAAGATGTTTTCTTTATAAGTTTTCAGAGGCTTACTAGAGAGAACTTGTTGGTAGGTTTGACCCACTTATATTTTTAGCTTTTAGGTTATAGAGGTTCAAATCTCAAGGTTAAAGATCCGCAGCTTGGGGGACTTATCTATTCTTTTTTCCTATTTCAAAGTAGGATATTTATTCATTGTAAGATGATAGACTTAATTTAGAGTGAACTGAATTATTAGATTATATTTTTAGGGGTCCTTGATTTACGGGATTCCCAAGTTGTAAGTTTTAGAGAATTATTAATGGAATTATTTATTTAATAGATTTTCATTTAGCAAGTTAATTATTATTTTTTTATTTCTTTTTGTAATCTGTGTTTGTTTAAAATATTTTTATAGATAACTTGTAAAAAATAAATAACTAAATAAATAAAATATATAAATTATTTGTCAAAACTATCACATATACACATAATTGATTATATTACCCCTTGAATTTTGCTAGATGACCCTAAAGTGGTGCAAGCTTCAGGTTCTCCAACTTTGTTATCCAAACCTATATAACTTGGTCCTAACTCTCAGTAATGTTTAAGTTTAGTTTTGTGCTATGTGTGTATATATATATATACCGATTATGCTATATCAAGTTTGTTTGTTTGTTTGTTTTATTTATTTATTTATTATTATTTTTTTTTGGGTAAATGGTAAGCTATATCAAGTTTTTGTTGTTACTATGTGTTCATGTTTTTATTGTAGATTTTGGTTCCGTGTTCATTTGTTGTCTCAAAATATATACTGTATACGTTAGTAATGATTATATTGATTGATTTGGTACTTTGTACGCGTGGACTTGGTTGAGAGGAATATGACTTCTTATTAATGTGTTGTAGCAAATTATGGTAGAATGATATTATATGTACCAATCAGGAGTGTGTTCCTGACTTACCGTTGTTTTAAAGGCAAAATCTATCTTTATACTGTAATTAGTAAGAATTGGATAAAGGTGGATAAAACTGAGACAGAATAGTGGCATGTTATGCGATGACGGAATAACAAATAGGTTATAAGTAGGGGTGGCAAAATGGGTCACAACCTATCAACCCGTCTGTATTCGTCTATTTTTATTTTATTTTATTTTTAATTGTTTTGGTTGAACCATATTTAAAATGGGTCAAAAATAGATTGAATAATTTTTAACCACTTAATTAGAGAGTCAAAATTATTTAACCCATATTTCACCCATCACATAACAGACACACAACACATATCTATGTTATATTGCACACAACATTACCCCAAATTAAACACGCTTAACTCCAGAGTTCTAATAGGTTAGCACTTGCCCCTTTCAAAACCAAGTGATGTGGGATTGTGCACATATAGTTCTCCTAGTGTGAAAGTGTAACGACCTAGGTTTTATTCGACCCGAAGTAACAGTGATGAACCGAAGATTGACCCGATAACAGATCCAGATGCGGAAGCGACAAACAAGACAATGGTCTTCCAAGGTACAACACGCCTCCAAGACCCTAAGATGACCTTACATGAGGTCACAGAACCCAAAAGAACAAAGTGTGAAGGCAAAAGATTAAAAAAAAAAAAAAAAAAAACTAAGCCCCCAAGGGCAAAGTAGTCATTTCTAAAAGTATGGAATCAAATTCCACCAAGCACACCACTAGAAAGACAACGAAAAAATAATCAAGATGGACTCAAGAATCGCATGATTCGGAGTCCGAACGAAGAAGAAATGACAAGATGAAGAAAAATGAGAAAAACCCGTTAATTAAGGGCAAAATGGTCAATTTGCAACTAAGAAGAGAAATTTGACTCCAAATAAGTCAAATAAGGTCCACACAACCTATAATAATCATTTCACAACATTCCAAGAGATTCTAAGAACTTTGGACAAGAATCCCACAAAACACCCCTTCCCGGTTTAAGCGAAAACCGACACTACCTCACTAAACATGAATAACTCTCACTACAATTTGAATCTGAGAATCAAATTGGTACCATTGGAAAGCTGACTCAAAATTCACAAATTTAGGCTCAAGAATGATCCCATTTGGGTTAGAAATGAAGGAGATATGACAATTTGAAGTCGGAACAACAATACTGAAGCAAAACTGAAGAGCTGTGCAAATGAGGGCTATTTCGGTCGACTGAAATACAGTTTCAGTCGACCAAAACTGGCAGAATACTTTCTGAAAACATGGTTTTAAGGCTTGGTTGTTTTGATAGACCAAAATGAGGCATCGGTCGACAGAACTGGAGTTTCAGTCAACCGAATTGGAGTTTCGCTCAACCGAAACTCCTTGAAAAGTTACTGAATGACCTGCTAAGCACATGATTTGTTGAGACTTCAGCCAAGCCTCAAATCCCAACATGAATATGGACCAAAAACAAGATTTTTAAGCTATACAAACATGCTCGCAAGTGTACTTTATAGATTGAAACATGTTACAATGGCCTATGGCCTCATTACATTACATTCACAGGATTTTACATGCTAACCCTCCAAAGATGATAAAGATACACTTTCAAAGCAAAACTTGGAATTAAAATGCATACACTTGAAGTTTAAAATTAGTGACCATTGGCCTCATGTCATACATATCAAGTAGGTTCCAAATAGTGTATCTAAGTACACTTTACATATTATAAGGCAAAAATGGCATATTGAACCTAGCTATGTATTATATCATTAAAAGTAAAACTTAAACATGCTAACACTTGCATGTGAACAAGAACACTATAAAAGAGGCTTCAAATCTCCAAACCACCCAAGGCATGTACAAATCTCTGAATCTTGAATCCTGTACGAGAAAAATGTTCACACTACGTGGGTGAGTAACATAAAGCTACCCATAGGAGATCAGCATGCATCGACCTAGCATTTTACAAAATTATCACCTTAAGGTGAAACATGTTGAAGGGGCTCATGCCACCTAACATCTGTGTCATAGTGAGACTCAGGGATCATCCTAAGCTACTCATGCAATTGAAATGAACAACGATATACAAGCATACATGCTCAAGTACACTAAACCGTATTAAAACATGATACACGACATACAAGCATACATGTTCAAGTACTCTAAATCATGTTAAACAAGAAAAACAATATCCGATATATATACACGAGTATTCGATATACAAATAGAGTACTCATAAATCAAGTTTACAAACACAAGTATACTAAGCTAAACAAAATACGCATAAGATAAGTATGCACGGCACAAGTATACTAAATGAAGTTAAACTCATGGAGCAAGTATACAAGTTCAAGTATACTAAATAGGATTCAAATACCCAAAATAAGCATAAATTCTCAAGTTACAAGTAATCCATGATTAACAACTTGAAATTAATTGCGAAAACAAATAGTGGAAAGACTAGGACATGTGGTCTCTAGACCAAGTAAGCATTTTCGAGTAATTACGACCCACAAGGTACTACCTAGTGTGCACTTGTGACTTAGAAGACTCTTGTCTCCATACTAGAGCCACACCCTAGCCATCAAATAATTTTTGTCCTCGCAAGCTTTCCAAAACCAATAAGTTCAAAACTTAAACAAAATCAAATGCAAGTTACCACATTCCATGCACAAATAAGGTTGAATCCACACAGTTCATGTCCTAGAAATCAAGTCTAAATAGTATTTGACAAGTCACGTCCTTAATATGCAATTTATACACAAAGTAAAAATTTTTAACACCAATTGAACCATATTACCATCCTTAGCCACAAGCACTAAATAGTTTCAATTTAGTAACTAGCTTCCAAGGTAAACAATTATAATATTCTAACAAGGTATATACCTACAATTGAACCATATTACCATCCTAAGCCACAAGCACTAAATAGTTTCAATTTAGTAACTAGCTTCCAAGGTAAACAATTATAATATTCTAACAAGGTATATACCTACACAAGATACATTTAAACAAGCTTTGCAAATCAATGATACTCTATATCATGTTAAATCTAATTACCATTTTAAGAGGCCATAAGTACTAATTGTACATCAAATTAGTAGCATGCTCACAAGGTAATTAGAATACTATATTTTAAGAGATTTTCAACCTAATCATCGAAAGTCTCTAGATTTCAAATCTATCCCAAATAACTTCAAATTAATATATGTTAAACAACATAGTATGTGTAACGCCTCGAATTTTTTTCTAAATAAAATTCTTGATTTCATTAAATCAAAATACTTCATAAAAGACACCCAGGATCTCAAAAGAAATAAAATACCCTTTATTGATACAGAATCAATTCCTCAAAAATGAATACAACATCTCTCAAAATAAATAAATTAATACTAAATTAATTTCCTCAAATAAATACATAAAAATCTCCAAATAAAATAATCTAATTCCTCAACACCAATTCTTCTACCTAAACCCGCAGCTAAAAATCCTCAAGCATCCTTGGTACCTGAAATTGGAAGGGAGTAAGACGGGGGAAGTCCCAGTAGGAAAAACTATAGCAAGGATTTCAAAGAGTTTCATGCAAATTCAGCTTCAAAAAAATATACAAATATATTTAAACAAAATATATATATGCAATTTTAACAAAGCAACAGTTAATAAAATATTTGAGACAAAATCATCCAGGCCATTCAAGATATGAAGAACCCTACACTGCAAAAGAATTATCATGGATCATCTGAGCACCAAAAATCTCGGCCATCTCTCTGTCTGTGCATTTCTCTAATTTTTCTCTCCATCTCTACTCAATTCTTTGTATCTCTAATACATACTAGGTGCACCAAACATTCAATATATAGACAAGTGTGCCGACACTCAACAAATATCAGCCCATATATAATTATCTAATCACTTTGTCTTCAAGTGGAGCCCACACAATAATCATTTCCTTTTTGCTTTCCCATTTCGCTGCCCCTTATCCTCTTCCATCTGATGATACACCTTAGAAATAAATTATATTAGCCATGTGCATGAACCAAGCCTAAAGAATTTTGACACCTACACAAAGCCACGTTACATAGCCAAACACCAAGGAATTTCTTGGCCAAACAATTCCTAGTGGTCCCATCACTTTATCACCATTATTTCTTTATTTTTCATTTTCATCATCCACCTATTTTCTTCTTTTCCCACGGCTGGTGCATCTCTTTTAGCAGACAACATACATATATATATATATCTTATACATACCAAGGTAACAAAAACCAAATCAACTATTTCTCCTCTAATGGGCCTCACAAAAATACATCACATTTCCATCTTTTCTTTATTTTTTTCACTTCCGCATACCTACTCTCTTGTATCACCATAAATCATATATATATATATATATATATATATATATATAATGCAAGAAACCAATTCAATTACATTTCCTTCTAATCTTTTCGGCTGGGCACTTGCTGCCTTCTCCTTTAGCACATAAACTGATGCAACAAAAACCAACACATGAATATCATCTAATGGGACTTGCAAATAAAATTACAATTTACATCATCAAACCCACTTTCGGCTCGCAGCAAGCATTTTGTCACCATCCTCCATTACATTATCTTTGTCTTCTTTCCATCACCAATATATATACAATATACATAAATAGCAAAACTACTCTTTTACTAATCTCAAAATAAAAATAAAAATAAAAAATTTAGTAAAAAATCCATTTCCATTCCATCTTCATTTTGTCATCACCAAAAATCCATTAACTTAAAAAATAAAACTAATTTATTAAAAATAAATCCAAAAGACACAAAATACTAATAACCCAAAAATCAATTTTTTTATAAATTGAACATCATAACTCAACCTCCAATTGAGTAAGTCTCCAATAAAAATTAAATTATCAACTATGACAATTTAAAAGTCATGAATTAAATTTCAGCACTTAAAAATCCGGGTTGTCACAGTATGCTCATTGCATATATGAAACCAAAATGACAAAATGAGCAAAACATCATCATGTAGATTTTAATTAATTTAAATTAATTAAATCTCTAATTTTTTTAAAGTTGTTCAATTGATCACAAATAAATATATAACAAGAACTAAGTTATAGCCATGCCATATATCAAGTCAAAAATGGAAAACAAGCATGGTACAATTTAATAGAATTTAAATCAAATTAAATTCATTTAAATCTCTAGATTTGAAAATTTATTCAAATGGCTCCAATTAATTATATAACAAGGATCAAGTGAAAGTCATGCCACATACCAATTCAAAAGTGAATTATATGCAAGTTACAACAATCATTACTTTCTCAAATTAACATTAAAACATGCATATCACTTGTATTCCATTACAAAAGCAATTAAAATGACTTGAAAAATAATCTATAACACCCCCTACCTCAGTAGAGAAGAGTCTATCTAGAATCCAAGGCAAATCAACACAAAATGGCAAACCCTTCAAGGTTATGTAGAGGAGGATGAGGGGAACAAAAAGCATTCCCAAGTTCAAGCTTGGAAATCAATGGAAGACACTCAAAAATCAAGGTCAAAGCTTAAGGCTCTAAGCTTCATCCATGGAGGCTAGGGTTCTAATGTAAAGGGTAAAGAAAATTGTGAGGGAGATGGAATGTGAGTGGAGGATTTAGGAGTGCTCCACTCAGTAGGTGAACTAACACCATGGTCAACACACACACACATTTGCAAGATCACTTTTGGAGCCTACATTTGTCATAAATCAATGGCTCCCTCCTAGGCTTAATCTTAAGCCTATACTTATCAACCATCCAAGCCAACAAGTGCACCAATCCTAGGCCAATAAGTGGGTGAATCTCCACCCTCCAGGTGTCATGAGATTAAGCCTCCAAGTGGTTCCACCACAAGATTAACAAGTGGCACCATAAGAATGTGACACTTGTCACATTTTTTTGAAACTTGTAAAAAGGTCATTTTTGAAAATATCTTCCAAATTTAGTTACAAAATGGTCCCTAAGACAAAAAATAATTACTTTACATAATTACACTAAAACCCCACAGTTAAGAATATTACAAAAAAAATTGTTCATCCATACCCTTTACAAGAAAAGTAAACACTTAGCATGCTTTTCTAAGAAACTAGAAATACACATTTCTAAGAAATCATATATCATGAGTGCATGCAAAAATGGAAGCAAAACCGAATACGAGAAGTGAGGTTTTGCCAACAAAGTGACGAACAGGAAAAAGACAAAAAAATGAATAGTGTCAAAAAATGAAAAATATGGAAATGACTCGGTCCTTAAATGAAGTTGTCACTCTAAAGGAAAGAGACTCAGAAACCATATTTGAGCACTCGAGATGACACTAAGTGACAAGAAACTGAACTCAAACAAGAAATTTCAATGAAAAAAAATTCATTCGTGAAATTTTGAGGAAAAGGAAAAGGAAGGAAATGTCCGAGTCATTACAACCTACCCTCCTTAAAGAGATTCCGTCCCCGAAATCAGGAACATTCCCAGAAGAATAGAAGAAGGATCGTACATAGGGTCACACCAAGGAATAGATCATAAAGTACCCAAGGACAACTCCAAAGGTCTCAAGATCAACGAAAGGACACGAAACCAAGAACCGTGAGACACCTCTCCATCGAATTGACATACTAACCCAATGTCAACCACCCAAAGGAGATCAAGGCAACTACATAACTAAACAAGGAACATAACCAAAAGCAACATGGCAGCACGAATACTGACTAGAACCCACCCACAACGTACCCAAGGTGGGCAGCATCGACAGCATCAAGCGTCCGCCCACACTTACATTACTAGCTAGGTAATGTAAGGTAGCATCGATGGTAACTAGCACTCGCCCACCACACATAACTTGTACGGTAGCATGTCAGTATAAAGCCCTAATTCGTTACTTACCCCCAACAAGCTTACCCGTGAAACCTATCGATACAAATGACATTAATGTCGAACAATCATTACCAAGAGCACCATGGAAACTAGGCATTTTGTGAAAGTTGAGATATGCTCCAAAGATGTCTGGCCGGACCATCCTGGCCAATCCCAAAACTCTGACACCAATGTCATAGGCACCGCTACGCTTAAGGCCTTAAATCCTCAATACTGGAAAAACTGATAATCCCAAGTCTCAAAACACTATTATCAACCACACCAATCACGAATCCAAAGCCTGACGAGTCTATGCCCTCGAGCCAATGGATCGGACTTTATAAAATCAAACAACATCACCTCCACCCTAGTCACAACGACTCCCAACAAGACAATGCACCCAAAATCCTCCATGTCATCCTAAAGCTGACCTACTACAAGGCTACGCCTAGGAATCAAGACATCGGATCAAGCTCACACACACAATCTCGCCAACCAAGGTCACACAGCCCTAAGCACAGTGCGGAATGATAAAAGAAATGAACTAATAAAGCAATTAGTCATGAAACCTACACGTATATATACACAAGTACACATTCACAAGTATACTAAGAAATATTGAAATGGTAACACAATATATATGTATATACAAGTATACATCCACAAGTATACTAAGCAGTACTAAATCTATGGTAGACAAGTATACAGGCTCAAGTATACTAAACCAAAATGAAATGAGGTAAACAACATGCAAGCATACTAAGTACAAGTATACTAAATGTAACTAAAAATCTACTTACTATACAACTAAACACATAGCACACAAGGGCAATTAAATATGCTACCTATCACATAGGGGTCAAGCATCAGAGACACGCTACACATCACCTATGATGTTAGCATGACAAGTAGATATAGTAAATGAAAAACACATCATCTATACTAGCACATAACCATCAAATAGTCACATCCCCTAACATGTTTATAAGGCATGCTCAAAACAGTAAGGCATATAAACATGTAAAAATGACTATGTATTTAACAATCCCACAAAATCAAAAGCAAGAAGGGATGGAATGCCTCTAAGAAGGATAACTCACAAAGAGGAATCTGAAAACCCGGATGAGTCTGATCTCTCTCCGTGGGGAAAAGAATCATCTTCTAGAATGAACACTAAGGTCCCTGAAACAAGGAGCCTACAAGTTTTTCCCAAGATTGGCTCAAACACAAAGTAGAATCCTAACGCCACACAAAATAAACAATGATGTAATGGATAGTTCCAACACTAACCATCAAGAAACACCAACAATAGAACTCAACTCAAGATGCCAACGAGTTCGGTGAGAACTCTACAGGATCCTATCGGAACCTTGAACATTACCCCAAGACTCCAATGACAAGGAAGAGTAATTGATTACACCAATGCAATTAATTACATGGAAACACTCACACCCCAACCTTAGCTCGTAAGAGCTGTCCAAGGCATGATAAGAAGAATCCTAGGTCAATGCACCTATCAAATCCCTAAACATCACTCTAAGAAGAAGAGACGCGAGGACCTTACTGTGAGGCTCACGAAAACAAATCTCCCAATCCCCAAGGAAGGACTCGAGTCAATCCGACTCATCGTCCCATGACTTTAGAAAAAGACCCCAATGACGTCATCACATCAAGGTCACCATGAAATCCTAAGAGATAATGCCCTGGCATTAATCTCAACCAACCAAGCTGGAACAACCCACCATGCCTAAACAAGACATAAAATAAGCAGTTAACACGTAACACAACAATAGACTACGTACTCACACAAGTACAAAAGAATCACATAAAGCATGCCAATGTAAGCATCATACGATCATGCTAAGAATAACAAATACATACAATACGCTAGAGCAAACAAGCATAACCCTCATGCTAAGCAGACAAGTGTAAATCAACATGCTAAAACAAACAAGCACATACAATGTACTGAAGCCGACAAACATATATAGTATGCTGAGGTAGACAAGTACATACAACAAGCTAAAACAAACAGACATATACAATGTGCTCAGACAAACAAGCACACACAACATGCTGAGACCTACAAGTATATACAATGCACTTAAACAGACTAGCACATACAAGATATTAAAGCAACAACCATGTATATCATGCTTAGACAGTTTAAGTAAGCTTCTAAACATACATCCACATAAGCACATAAATATGTTATCAAGAAGCAACTAAAAACATACAGCATGGCAACACAAGCATGATATGCACCTAAAACCCATTGTCCTAAGGTTTTTGAACCTAGGAGCTCTGATACCACTTGTAACAACCCAGGTTTTATTCGACCCGAAGTAACAGAGATGAGTCGAAGATTGACCGGATAACGGATCCAGATGCAGAAGCAAGAAACAAGACAATGGTCTCCCAAGGCACAACACACCTCTAAGACCCTAAGATGACCTTACATGAGGTCACGGAACCTAAAAG